GAGGAGCAAAAATGCTCCATTCAGAAATCAAGCAGAGATACTGGATTATTAATGCACGAGCAGCTATTCGAAAGTTCATTCATAAATGTGTAACATGCTGTTGACACAGAAGTGAGCTGTCATATCAAGCAATGGGCGATCTTCCAGCATCCAGAATGAATCCCACAAGAGCTTTTTCGAAATGTGGTGTGGATTTTTCGAGTCCTTTCCAAGTTAAACCGAGGAAAGGGCGCTGTGTTCGGACAGTGAAGATCTACGTTTGTGTTTTTCGTATGTTTTAGTACTAAGGCAGTGCATTTAGAACAAGTTGGAGACATGACGACAGATTCCTTCATAACAGCTCTAAAACGATTCATTGCTAGACGTGGAAGACCGGAGGAAACGTATAGTGATTGCGGCACTAATTTTATAGGTGCCAACAGACAACTGAAATCATATCGTTCGGACCAAAGGGTAGCTAGATACTTAACAGAAGAAGAAATTAAGTGGAATTTCAATCCGCCTTCTGCGCCGCACTTTGGTGGACTGTGGGAAGCCGCAGTAAAGGCTATGAAATATCATATGAGAAAAGCAATTGTTTCTCAAGTTCCAGCTTTCGAAGAATTTGCTACTTATCTAGCAGAAATCGAGGCATGTCTGAACTCAAGACCATTAGTAGCGATTTCAAGTGATCCAGATGATTTTTCCGTGATTACACCAGGTCATTTTTAATAGGAACATCATTAAAGGCTATTCCGGAACCAAATGTGTGCGACGAGACACTAACACTTCGCAATCCTTGGAAACTAGTTCAGCAAATGTCACAGTCCTTCTGGAGGAAATGGTCTAAGGACTATTTGACACAACTGCAAGTTCGCACAAAATGGCATCGTGTTTCAGCAAATATTAAAGTAAATGACTTAGTAATCATTAAGGAAGATAACACACCTTCCTTAAAATGGAAACTGGGACGTATCACCGAAATTTACCCAGGTAATGATTACAGAGTTTGTGTTGTAAAAGTAAAAACTGCTGATGGTGAATTCAAGAGACCCATTCACAAATTGTGTTACCAATACACAGTTAAGTATCGTGAAAAATTTTGAACTTTAACTTGATATTCATCGATATTCATTTAAATTTTCTAAGTTTTAATGTTATTGTACATATTCATGTTATTAATTTTATGTAATTTATTGTTTACATTTATATGTTGTTTAGGCTTAGTTACTCATTTATAAGCAAGAACTATTTAATCTAGAACTTATATGTTTACTAAGAATAATATTAAGTAATAATTTCATGTAAGAGGTAGTTTGATGTCCTGAACGGTCATCCATGGGGAGTATGTTGAGATCTCCCATAGAGGGCGTTGTAGCACTCCTCAACTGTGTGAGAAAAGTTTCGATTTGAGAGAGAGTTGACGTGGGTTTTGAGAATGTAGTGAAGAGCTGTGTAACGCGTATTTGCTATGTAACTGTACTATGTAATATAATGTAATTGGAACTACTCTGATATGTGCCCTCAAGTAGCCAAATTTCTCGCCAAATATTTTTGGCGAGAAACTTCACGCTGCTACTATCTAAATTTTTTGTGTACATTTCGACTTTAAGCCTAAAATGTCTCCAAAAACACGGTTTTCGCACATGCAAAAACTACGTTTTGAACACACGATTTAAGCTAAAAATCCAAAACAAAAACAAAAAATTTAGATAGCAAAATCGTAAAGTTGCTAACCAAAAATATTTGACAAGAATACATGTACACAGCGACATGTTTTAACTTTAAAAAAATCTACGAATGGCATACTGTAGGCAATGAACGAATCTATGAACTACGCACACCTCACTTTAGTAAATTAACATAACAACAATAAATTTCAAAGAATACCATGTACACAGCGTTCTGTTTCAACTTTAAAAAACATCTACAAATTGCACAATCTACACTAAAATCAAGAAAATAAACTAAAATAAATTTCAGACAATTCAAAAAACAACAATAAAAGCGGAAATTCATACAAAAAACAATGAATATAGATTCTACAAAATAAAAACAATAAAATAAAATGCACTTACCATAATGAAAGCTTCTTTTAAAAGCAGAAATATCTTCCTTCCTATCTTCTCAGATACAGAGCATACAAAGTCCAAAATACATTCATTAATAAAATTTCGCCAGTCACACAACGTCTCTGAAGAAAACTTCCACGATTTTGCTATATCACATGCCTTCCTATGATTCAAAATTTCAAAAGTAACAATAAAAACTTCCTCCAACGTTAACTTGCTACACGAAAACCAAGATCCAAACCTTAAACTCCGCTGACACCCACATACTTTATTAGCAACAATTTTACTGCAAACCCACACAAGTCTATCAGAAACACCTTTTTTCGTCCGAGTTCTCGTATCAGCTCCGCATTTCGGACACATTCAAACTCCGTTTCAAAGTCCCGACTCCCACAGAAATTCCAAAAATACACTACGATCCCCATAAATACATCCGTGAACAAAAGACTCGTTAACAACGCCAACATCGTACCTTTTCATACTAAATTTACGCTGCACACAATCTAAAATACGCGGCTGAAACCTTTCCACCACGTCTTTCATCGCAACATAGGCCATTTCAAAAACACATGCGACACGAACCAACTAGCAATTTAAACTACTCCACCAAAAGAATTTTCAACGTCGACATGGTTGCCATACAACACGCAATCGCGCCAAAAACCAGCGCAAAACACATATTGCCACATTTGGTGAAATTAGGGCGTTTATCAGAGTTGTACCATGTAATTAAATGTATTTATTTAAAATGTGGAGCAATTTTGAAGGAGCACACTTCACAACTATGCTTTCATGGTTCAACATCATGATTCGCCGGTTCATATCATGTGACCCCAAGTGATCTCTTATCTCACGTAAACTATGCTACAAAAAACTAATTCTCTCAGTAATTATCTACATTAATTTCAAGTTAAATTCTTATTTGGAATACAAGTTTAAATGCAAGAATTATTTCAATTCGTATGAATAGCTTACTCAGAAATTATGTAAAACCGCATTGCTTTACTTCGCTAGTGCATTCTCATTAGAATTGTTGAATTTAACCCTTGATTTTGCCTTTTCTATATTTTCGCCTTCGACTGAGCAGTATGATTGTGTCCTAATTGACTTAATTACCTCGAATGGTCTTAGGGCATAAAATTTAACTATCTTGTAAAAATTCTATGTAATTGTATGCCAGTATTGAAAGTAACAATCAATCTGATAAGAAATGGCTGCGACTTGTTTTGAAAATGAAGCATTAAAGGTTACCAGCGAAGATATTCCGTTTGGCATCAGTTGTACCATTATTGGCGGCTTTATCGTTTGCGCCGGCAAAACGGAAAAGTACCAAAAATTGTTACAATATGGCATTTCAGGGTTGTAATGGTATAAAGATTTATATCGTATAACTATGTTAAGGTTTCTGTAATACTGAAAGATTTCATAGATGACCTGGCTGCTTCATCAACCACAATTATCTTTCTTGTTATGCATGCATTATCTTTCTTTTTCTTCTGTGTTTGTTGCTGGGTAGGTCTCCTTGAAGCTTATGTAGAACATACTTAAGACATATACCACCAGTTCTAGACATTTTTGCCCTTCTGTGAAAGTGGCTTCATCTGAGAATATAACTATCAGTAATGTGGTTAGTGCTATTTTGAATTTGTTCTTTCATACAGTTTGGAGGGGGGAGGTAATTAAAATTAAAAAAAAAAAAAAAAAAAAACAAAGGCTGAAATATTTCAATCTTAGTTGCCATTAAGAATTTTTAGCAGTTTCAGTAATCAGTCAAAATACTATATTATGATAGTTAATGTTTAAAATTGATATTTTAACTGCTCATAGATATTTAAAAAAATTTTGCATTTTTATAGTGATGCTTGAAGCAGGTCATAATGTGCACTTTCATTGCTAATATTCAAAAATGTTCTTAGCCAATACGTGTATCCTGTGGTCTCGAACTGTAGGAAAAGCTTAAAAATCTGATTATATTGCATAAAATAAAACAGTAGCAGTTGCTTTCTTCTGTAAGCAATTTCTGCAATTTGTATAATTTAAATAGAATAAAATCGTTTATCACCCTGTATTTTTACAGAAGTTTGTAATTATCAACTTTATCTTTGCCACTGTAAAATCAAAATTGTTTAAATTTGAACTTAATAATCCATGTCTTAAGCATAAAATGATTAAGAAGAAGACAAATAAGACATATTATCATATATTACATTATCATAAGGTTTTCAGAAAAGGGTAAAATAATCAAAGGTTTTTGGTCACAGTCAGTAAGATGTAGTCTTGGAGGAAAGGAAAAATAATATAAAGAGCAATACTTTGCATTTATTTGATACTTATTTAATAATAAAGATGTAATTTTGAATCTGTTTGTTATAATTTTGGTACTTTCTGGTCATTCACCCCTCAAATTTCGAAGTACAGAAAAATATTGCCATGTAACTACGCAATTATAGCCTATGCATGCATGCACATATCATATATGCACTTGTTTACATGTGGAATTACATGCTTTAATATTTAGCTTCATGTGCTAAGCATTACCTAACATCTGTAAAAATGTAAATACCAGCTATATATAGATTTTTTTTCTTTTTTCCTGATAAAGTTTTTTATTTTTTATGAAATGCTTTCTTTTATTTTTTATTTATGAGTATAATAGTATCTGTGAACCATAAAGATAGCCAAGCAAAACTTTTTCACCAGTTCACTAAATCAGCAATGAGTTTGACAATGTTTCTGGAGAGACGATGCCCTCATAAAGTGGCTTTAATTATCTGATGGGAAGTGAAAGGTTAATAATTAGATACATCCTTGTAATCTCTTTGTGATAAAGAAAATCGCTTATAAATTTTTAAGTATATTTTGCAAATATGTGTCTTGTAATAAAAGATTTCTGTTGTTTTTATATATTTCATTTCTACTATAAATTTTAATTGAAATATTTTGATACAGAGGGCCTTCAGAGGAACGTCATTTATGCCAGTATTGTGACCGAGTATATCCTTCAAGGACTAACCTTTCCAGGCATATTTTTAGAGTTCATCGTGTACCTGCTAGGAAAAGTAAGCCATGTCCTGACACATTGAGTAAGTTGTACTTTATCCTAAAATGTGAACCTGTTTGATGTGCACTTCACTGCTAGCCATCTAGAGTGTAGCACCCAAGGGATGTTGAAGTTATTCTACTGGGCAAATAGTTTAAGATACAGAGGCAAATTGATTAAAATTATTGCCTCATTCGACTTGCAGAACACAACGAAATCAGTACTTTATGTAGCTGCCTTAATAGGCTGTTACTGCTGTAATATACTTTAGTGAAAGAAAGCTTTCAGTGTGAGCTTGAGATATGTGTTATGATTCCATGTGTTGTTAAAGTACATCTGGCAAAACCGTGGATGGCATATGCTAGGCCACTCATTTGCCAGTCATCAACCAATTTGCCAACTCATTTGCATCATAAATGCCTTTGAGTACTTTGGTATTATTGCAACCACCTTGGTAGAAGTCGCCAAACTATGGCACCCATGCTCATAACTATTCTTCACGTAACCATATCGATAACTGTAAGTTTGAATAAGCAATATAGCCATTTTTGTATGTGCTGTTTTGTTTATATTAGAAGCTCTAAAGGAAAATTGTGATATTTTTGGTCTTTAGCTAATTTTTGAAATATGCACTTCTGAGATTTACCAGCAAATGAAGAAGGTTCTGTGAAATTTTTACAGGAATGTAATACAATCACTCATTATTATATTATATGCATAAAATGCCTATCCTCTCATTTGGTGTGTGATGAGGCTGATGTAGTCATTCCCATCTGTCGGTCCAACCCTCCTATACCTACTGATTCTATATTTGCATCACTGTGACTTCATTTTATGTAATTTTTTAGAAGAATAATCTGCAGTCCCAGAAAACCACAATTCTTCCTCTATTGAACTCAGAAGTATACTTGAATAACTTGTTTTTCCCCCAACAAAGCATACTGAAGCTTTTAGGTACTCTCCTGTTATTTGTACCGTATTCAGAAATATATGCATGTGTATATGTAAGTATGTGCATATGTGTGCATACACTCACATACATATGTACACACATATACACATGCATACATGAGCATATACATCCATACATTGTGTTTGACTAATGCTTACTTGTCTGACCTATAGTCAGCCCAAGCCCACGAAATTCCTCGTGGCAAGGAACGCAAGATGTGTCTGTTGTTGGCAGCAGCCTTCCTTGAGAACCTTATAGGTGACAGTGCGATTTAGCTCAGTTCTGGCCCCAGTTTTGATGGAGAGCATCCTGGGGAGGACAGGTCCGAGGGTCTTCTACCACCAACCTCTCGAGAAGACTTTCGGCTCGCCGCTTGTTTGGAGTGCCCCAATGCTGCATGGACACTATACATTTTCAAACATCCATGCCTTCTTTGGGATTCGAATCTAGACTCTTCAGCATGACAGTCAGCTATACTAACCACTATACTGGTTGGGCAGCACACATCCGTACATACATCCGTATACACATACATTTCTGAATCGGGTCTTGATAACAGAAGAGTACTGCTTCCTATGTAAATAAACAACAAAAAACACATTATTTGATTATCCTTTAAAACAGTTTTCTGTTCTTTTTTATAACGTTTCTGTGTAGCATTACTGGCACATTGCATTCATTTGTACGTAGGCTGCAATAGTAATCAGTCATGCATCTTTTCAAGGTCTCCACATGTAGAAAATTTCAAGCCTCTTGAATGCTTTCTTTTGGTGCTACATTTTAGATGGTCAGTGATGTATTTTATACATCAAACATGTATGCAAAATATGTCAATTTTTAAAGGCATTCATTTATGCAGAATATTTTAATCTTTAAAGACAGAGTAATTTCAAATTTTGTATATTATTTCTTTCATTTATATTGGAAATTTGAAACCATTAATTTATATTTTAAAAGCACTTTTAAATTACAATATTGTCTAAATTTATAAATGTCTTTATTAAAAATAGTACTGCTTAGTGAAATAATGTAATTATTAAATATTGCTAATCTATTCTACTTACTAATTTATTCTTTTGTTATATATGTGTGAATGTATAATACACACATACAGAGGAAGATCTCCCCCTCCTTCATTTATCCCCCCCCCCCCGCCTAATGGGCTATACATCCGAAATTCTCTTCAGAATTGCACGAATACTGTCAGTGACAAAATAAGTATAGTGAAACATAAACTTATTGTTTTTCTGTAGAATTTTTCTTAACTATAAGTTTGTCATTTTTTTGTATTGCAGATAATTTTTAAGTCTGATCTAGCATAAATGACAAAATTTTGTACTTTCTAAGTATCCTCATCCCTCTTTCAAAAACTGAAAACTTGCTGGTGACTAAATTTTCATCAAGCTAATACACACAAGGCCACAGCCATTTACAAAATGACAATATGCTGAGAATTGCATAGAAAATAACAAAATTAAAAAATCAAGAAACACCTACCTTTTTATGAAATTCTTAAGTTATTTGCATTCCGTGTGCAAGACGTGTTATCAGAGTAGTTGTTCCCTCGGTTAGAGCAAGCGGTTCCTGGCTCCATTCTGCAGCAACATGGTGCTCCACTACATTGGCATAAAAATATATGCCAGTATCTGAACCATAGTCTACCTCATCGCTGGATTGACAATGCTGGGTCAAATGATATGCCATTTCTTTGTCAACCACTGATATCCCCAGATTTAACCTCTTAAAATTTTTTCCCTATGGGGTTTCGTTAAGGACAAAGTGTTCATGCGTCCATTTCCCCAGGACGTACAGCAACTGAAGCAGCAGATAGCTGAAGTGCTCAAATCATTAACAAAGGATATTTTATCACAAGTGTGAAACTGGAATACTGCGTAGGTATTTGCCATGCCACTCTAGGGGTACACATAGAACATCTACAGAAACTTGGATAACTGTAAATTTGATTTATCAAAATAAAATAATTACAACTTTTGCACTTATGCTTTTTTTTTTTTTTTTTTTTTTTTTTTTTCATACCATTAAATATGAAACACCCTGTATAATTATGTAGCAGATGTCACATCATTCTAACCTAATGTTGCAAAATATATTTTTGGCAGGAAGCAACCTGCAGTTTTTAAAGTAATAGCAAAGATGGATTGTTAAGAAAGTTCTATAATTTCTCTAGCATCATAAATATCATCGCCAATTTCTGCATGAAAATTTTCACACTGCCTTAACAAAGGTCACTATTAGCTGCTACCACAATTATTATTATTATTATTACAGTCAAAAGTCATTAATCCGGACTTGTTGGGACTTTGGCGATTCCAGATTATCGATTTTTCCAGATTATAGATAATCAGTTTAAATAAAGAACAATTATGATCTAATGGGTATCAAAATTTACAAAAAGGAAAAAGCTTAATATGTATTTGTTAACTTTACTAAACATTTCTTTCGATGTAAGTTGTTTAAGTTGCTTCGTTTCATGTGATAATACTTTCTCTTTAATTCTATTAAACAGACTTAATTTCTTGTTTAGTTACAAAGTTCCGCTGTTCAAGTCCTATAATTGCCGAGTCGAGAATACCGACTAATTTGTGAATCGAAATTTTTTCGTTTTCATTAACCTCTGCGTCACTTTCTTCACTATTGGAAGCGAATTATGATGATGAGGAACTTGATTTAAATCATATCAAAGACGGAGTACATCGAGATGAAATACTACATTTAGTAAGGAATTATAAGCCAAATAAAAAATAATAATCTGCCCTGAAGATAAGGATAGTGCTGACAGATCAACTTCCAATTCATTGCGCGCCGCGTCGTTTCCCTCCCCCCGCAGAGCAGCGTGAAATTGATAAACATATTTCAGAATGATTAGATCATCAAAGGATATGCCTTTATCCATTTTTTTCAGCAATTCCACTTTCTGTTTAATGTACTTCGAAACATACTTTCGCTTTATAGATCCTTTACATATTAGTAAATATATATCGGAAATTCTATTTGACATAATCAAAAGTTCAAGCTTACTTTTATAAAATTGCTCTAACAGTCTGCAAAAAATAATAAGCCGGATCCAATTAGAAGATTAAGGAACAACGCAATCTGCAACATTAACTGAATTAGATAATTTTAGCTTTATACCGTCCGTTATACATTAAACGCGCATGCATAAACGTATTATGTGCATGCACACATGCATATTCGCAGACGTAAAGGTCTTATGCGCACGCGTAAACACCTATGCACATGCGTCAAAGTGACGCATGTGCAGAAAGTTTGTAGCTTTGAGGTCCGGATTATAGATCATTCCGGATTATGGGTGTCCGAATTAACGATTTTTGACTGTATTTGGCTGTCATTTGTTGCCATGCTACAGTATTAATCTAAGAGGGTTTTGATTCTAATATGTTTAAATTTATTGCCTCCTTATCATTTAACTTAGTGTATAATCTTGGATATTTATGCTCTGTTTTGTCTCTATACATATAAAAAAATGAATAATAGATATATATATGGAAACATGAAAAAAGTTATACTTAAAACAGACTGCAAATTTATTTATAGAACTTTAAGTAATGAGTTTAACTGTTACACAGGCTGATTGTGTAAGAAAGCATCTTTACTTCCATTTCGCATTACATAAAACTTTACAAATCATACAAATATCCAGAATATGTGAGGTAGTTTATTTTGAATTTCAGTATTTTAAAATTTTTACTTTTATTCCATTAGATTCATAAAATGTTTAAAAGGTACACCCCTCTGTATTGCCTTGTAGAAAACACAATAGATGACCTTATATCTTACCTGTATTGTTATAGTACATATAACAATACAGGTAAGATATAAGATATAAGTTATATAACAATACAGGTAAGATATAAGTTATATATAGTGTATAGTTATATCTTACCTGTATTGTTATAGTGTATAGTTATAGTTATAGTCATTAGCAGAGACATAAATCACAAATACATATGTGGATATTTATGAAAATAACATGATTAATATTTTAAAAAGTATTTTTGTTTATTGCTAAGCCACTGCTAATGCTACTTGTTAGCTTTTATAAGTTAAATAAGTTAATAGTAAATTAAATTAAAATTTGAATATTTATGTTCCTTCCTCAAATGATGTTTTCTGTTATTAAATTAAATAATATTATGCTAGGATAAAATAAAATCTAAAAGATTTAATAATCTACCTTTTCTTTGTGTATGAATAAGAGTCGCATTTCCATATCATGATGCTCTTAGTCTTAGGTCATTAGATTATATAAGGATCATAGGATAATATTAATTTTGAAATGATGGAATTTAGAGAAATTTATCATAAGCATCAATGCCTCAAATAAATCATAAGCATATTATTAATTTGGAAGTAGAAAGAGGAAATAATTAAATAGGAAGCTTGAGGAGCTATTGAAAATTGCTTTAGGATTTTATTTTTCATATATTTGCTCTTATGTGTATATGTTAAACACACACACACATATATTATATATGTAAAATTTATCACACATTCTTATGAAATCAAATGTAATAAATTATTTTTAAAAAATGAACAGACTGGTCTGTGTTAAAAGTTATTACAAAAACATATTGTTTAAATAATATTTATTTGAATTTTATATTTGGGAATTATATTTGACATTCTATGCTTTCTGTTTTTGCGCAAATATCAGGACTAAATTTCATATTAATGAAATTGTAATTATATCAGATACAGAAATTTCTACTCTTATAAAATCAATATTTATTCTTATGTCAAATCAATAGAATAAAATTATTTCCGAAGCCTTATTAAGAAATTAAATAAAGAAAGAACCTAGATCAAGATTTTTAAGTTGCAAATATCAATTCAGATTTTGAAAATGAATCATATAATTTGAAGATTTAAAAAGAAGGGAATATTTCTCAAAAGTATTCAAAAAGAGTTATCCTATTGTCTGCCAAGAATAGGTCACTGAAGAGAAAGTCTGATGCACAGACATCAGATGGGTTTTGTAATTCTAATTGAGGTAATTTTTTTAGAGCAAAATTGAAAAACATTTTTCTCATTAATAGATTGATTTTTAATTATAGTCTATTTAGTAAAATTTTATATCTACCTTTTTTAGCCCAGAAGGGCTATTAATTTCATTTTGGCATTTTGCATTGAAAACTTTAAATTTTGGTTCACTTTTCAAACTGTTGCCACCAAATGTTACAGCCCTGTATTGTATTTAAAGAAATTAAATAATGAAGAATCTGCATAAATGTATGCATTTTTCTCACACTGTGATAAAACAACGGTACCTAGAGCCATAAAATTTTGAAAAACTTATGTTTCCACCTGAATTTGGGCATCTGAAAGCCAAAATTAGGAATTTGTTATATTATCTATTTCATATCTTGTAAAACTTTAACAAATTTTTTATCAACAAACTCAATGATTTCAAAGCGAGCAGTGGCAACACTGTACAGAATTTTTTTTTTTTTTTTTTTTAATCTCCAGCTCGTGAGACTATGTATCGGAAATTCTAAAGGTATGCTGATTTTAAAATTACTTTGCGATATTGCTGTTGAACTGAATTTCATGGTTTAAGTGTGAAGAACATGATATTTAATAAATAAAGGTAACCTGCAAAACATTAAAAAAACGCCCCTTTGGGCATAATGTAAAATCTGAAAGCTTTCAGATTTTTTTTTTAAATAAGATAGTTAGTTAAAAAGGGGAAAGACTCTTATTTATATATCTGATTCTAGCCAGTGTTGAAATTTAATTAAAAATTGATCCATGAAGTAAGAAAGAAAAATTGAAATAAAAACTTAGAAAATTAAATAAATATATTCTAAACTTCAGAATCTAAATTATCTCTCTCTCTTTTGGGGGGGAGGTAGTTCTTTAATTGTAATATATAAACCGATACCGCTAGAGAAAAGAATTTTGAAACATAAAATGCTGAAAGTATTAAAATAAAAGCACATCACTTTTAAATTTTGTTGTTTCAATTCAGTTCATTTATATAAGCTGCAGGGTTTCAAGAATCTTCTCTTAATTCTTCGGGGTTTTTATTCACTTTTTTAAGGTTATGAATAGGAAGACTTTTTTAGAATATTACTGAATTGGGTTTTTGGAATTCTGGATCATTTATTTCTTTAGCTTTAGTATCATTTAAATAAAGTAGTACTACTGTTTCTTCTACCACTTTTTTTCCCATTTATAATTAGATAATTTAGTTTCAGTATATTAACTAAATTACCTAATTTCCTTTACTGTACTCAAGAAAATGTAGTCTTTTTTGTTAAGCACACTTAGATTAAACTCAGTATACTAAACTAAAGCATACAGCTAATATCCTTCTATCTATTTTAGCAAATGAATCCAAAGGAGCAGTATGTTATGAAGAAGGTTGTGATAACCAGAAATTTAAAAGCACAACAGAGCTGAGAAATCATCTTGTAAATAAGCATAATTTTATTTTCCAAGTTGTGAAAAATGAATTGGAAACTGAGCAGGAGTTCATCACATGGAAGAAGAATGTGGAAGAAGCTTGCAATATCAAATGGGTAAAGCAAGCTGCCAAAAAAAAAGCTTCTGGTTGTACTGTTGTGACATATATATGCCATCGAAGTGGCAAATTTCGTAGTAATGGTGCTCGTCGCAGGGCGTTGAAATCTTGCAAAATAGGACACTTCTGCACAGCTTATTTGAAAGTGATTATATTGCAAGATGGGAAAGGTTATCAAGTAGAACTTTACCCAGATCATTATGGCCATGATGTCTCCTCCTCAGAAGACAAAAAAGTCAAAGTTCAAGTAAGTACTTGCAATTATTTTTAGGGAAAATAATGTAGTTATGCAAGTAACTTTACTAATACACTCATCATTCTTTTTTTTTTTTTTTTTTTTTTTTTTTTTTAGCTTTATATTAAGCTTGAGTATATTACTATTTTTCCTAAGTGTTGAATAAGTGCTTTTTCTTACATGCTAAACTCGTATACAGAAAATAAAATTCAGATTTAATTAATCCTATAAACATGCATTTAAATAAGTTAAATTGAGATTACTCGAGAGGTATTAAAATAAACATAAATCTGTTGAAAGACACAATGACATGTTTAGTTCAGTACGAAGATTTCAGAAATGTGTAAATGAAAGTTACCTATATACACAGAAAATATAACAGTGAAATTTTAAAAAAGAAAGAAAGGAATGGGGGGGGGTTACTATTCAATTTGTTGCTCAGAAAACTATTTCATATTTAAGTTCTGTTTTAGTTTTATTAATTTCACTCTCCAAATCTACTTATCAGTGTTCTGAAAAGCATTAAATATTATATATTTTATCTCATACTGCATTAGCATTATCTTTTGTTTCATACTGCATGAAAGGAATTCTTTGTAGTCTCTGAGTCAGAAAGAGCACTTGTAAGCATAATTTGTTGAATTGCTTTCTCATTGTTAGTACAGGATTCATTGTACTCTGATGGTTGATACATCACTGATGGTTGATACATCAGTGTCAGCAGATACATAATAGGGAATCTAATAAACTGTAAAATTTCATTCCATTCATTGAGAGTAATTTAATCATAGTTATCTCTGATAAATTTATGGCTTATCCACAAATTTATTGCTGTTTAGAAATTGAAATGAAAAAAAAAAATATCATACAAGGTTCAGCAGTTAAATTTGCCAGCATTTGAATTATTATTTTTTTTTATATATATAAGTTATTAGATTTCTAAGAATTTTTTTTGCTTTTTTATATATATTTTCAAATGTTTCTTTTACTCTGTATAAAAAATATTTATATAGATCTACTTACTAAAAAGTAGTAACGTGGAACATTGTAGTAATTAGATATGATAATGTATATTAAACAACATATTGACTGTTGAGGCTTTCTTGGATAACTGCATACAGAAATAAACTTTTTGCTTGCTGGAAATATTTAATTAAGTACCCTAAGCTCATCGGAATGTGCATTTGATCATATAAAATGAAATTTGTGCAACTCTTCTATGGCAGTTTATGTGTTACGGATCAAATGTGTATTGCTGTCTCATAACAGTTAATAAGTAATATTACCTGTAAAAAAAGTGAGCCAAACTGTAGTGTGTCTAGGCAAACTTGGTATCAGCTTATCTGATTAAAATTTTTAATATATATTGGATTTGGTAGGAGGGTATTTAACAGCAAATATTTAGCTGCATTCAGAGCATAAAAAATCACTCTGGAGCAGAGTATTTAAAGATATGAATACAGTCAAAAGTCTTTAATCCGGTCAGGACTTCGTCATTTCCGGATTATCGGATTTTCCGGATTATAGATCATCAATTTAAATCTGGTAAGATGGCATGCGGAAATTATAAAATTAAAAATATGAAACTGTAATATATGAAATAAAGAGCAATTATGATCTAAAGGGTATCAAAATTTACAAAAAAAAAGCTTAATATTTCTTTGTTTACTTTATTAAACATTTCTTTCAATGCACGCATGCGTAAAGTATACTTTACGCATAGTCGAAATTAGAAAATTGCAACCAGAAAACTATTTGATGTGTATTCGTGATATTTATAATGACGAGGAATTTGATTTAAATCATATCAAAGACGGAGTACATCGAGATGAAATACTACATTTAGTAAGGAATTATAAGCCGAATAAAATAAAAACATCTACCCTAAAGATGAGGATAGTGCTGACAGATCAACTTCCAGTTCATTGCATGACGCCCCCTCCCCACAGAGCAGCGTGAAATTGATAAACAGGTTTCAAAATGGTTAGAGAAACAAAGGATATCCATTTTTGCAGCAATTTCACTTTTTGTTTGATGGACATCGAAACATGCTTTTGCTTTGTAGATCCTTTGGCAGCTCCAGAATCGGAAATTCTTTTTGACATAATCGAAAGTTCAAGCTTACTTTTATAAAATTGCTCTAACAGTCTGCAAAAAATAATAAGCCGGATCCAATTAGAAGGTTAAGGAACAATGCAATCTGCAACATTAACTGAAATAGATAATTAGATAATTTTACCATCTGTTATACATTAAACGCGCATGCGTAAACGCATATGCACATGCGTACACGCTATGCATTTGCAGAAAGTTTGTAGCTTTGATGTCCGGAGTATGGACGCTCGGATTAAAGACTTTTGACTGTATCAGAAAGTTTTTTTGCTGGTTAAAATTTACAGTAACAGTATATCAACAAAATTCTAATTCTTTTCAAGAAACTTTTCTATTCAAAAAAACAAATTTTCATAGGTGTTACTTTTACAAATTTTTTATTGAAATCAAAACTATATTGTTAATATCAAGGCTTGATATATGAGTAATTTTTTTTCACAGTTTCAACTAATTAATTAAGTCTTAAAAGTAGTTCTGTCCCCTAGTTCCACCTTTGTTGGGCATGCTTTGTAAATGAGTTATACATAAAGTTTTACTTTTAGAGATATGTGTACTCCACATAAAAGATTCACTGGTTCTTATTACCATTTTATTTGCTTAGTCCAGAAAATATGTTATTTTTTTAACCTTTTAAATATTTATGGTACTACTCTTATAAGTGCCCTCAGGTCGCCAGATCGGGCTGTATGTGTTGTGCACTTATTTTTGGCGCGATTGTGTTTTCTGTAATGTTGATTTCTATGGCAACTTTTTTTATGTGGAAACCTGAATTTGCTAGTTGGTTCGTGTAGTGTGTGGTAATTAAGTGATTTATGACGTGTTGACAAAATTTTAGTCGCATGCCTGGTACAACATTTTTTTGGGGGTGGCTGGAAATTCTACAAGTATTTAGAAGAAGAAGGTTTTGAACATTTATTTGTGGATAGTGAGTCTGGCTCTTATATAAATATGATAGAGATGATGTGGCTGCATTTTAAAGCTATGTTGCCTACTTATAATTGGAAATGCGATTTTGTGTTTTATTTGGTGGTTCATATATTTTTCCATCGTTGTTCTGAGACAGGAGAAGATGCTTTTAACAAATTTGTGGTGAAATTGTTTTGGTGATGCTCGAAATTAGTATTTCTGCTGTTTGAAGAAGCATTTATTCATGGTAAGTGCATTTTATTTTATTCTTGTTCTTATTTTGTAGAATGTTATGTTCATTGTTTTCTTAGTGTGAATTTCTGTTGTTATTGTAGTTTTTTTTTTTTTTTTAATTATTTGAAATTTATTTTAGTTATTTTAATTTATTTTGTTGATTAGTGCAGAATGCATAGATTGTGTGATTCATAGATGTTTTTTATAAAGTTTAAACAGAACACTGTGTACATGGTATTCTTTGAAATTTATTGTTATGTTAATTTATTTAAGCTAGGTGTGCTTAGTTCGTAGATTTCTTCGCTGCATAAATTGTGCAATTCTGTGATTTTTTTTAAGTTAAAACATATCGCTGTGTACATGAATTCTTGTCAAATATTTTTGGTTAGAAACTTTACATTTTTTGCTATCTAAATTTCTTGTTTTTGTTTCAGATTTTTAACTTAAATTGTATGTTCAAAATGGGGTTTTTGCAAGTGTGAAAACCACGTTTTTGGAGACATTTTAAGCTTAAAGTTCGAAATTTAGGCAAACAATTTAGATAGTAATATGGCATCATGGAGTTTCTCACCAAAAATATTTGGCAAGAAATTTGTCGCCAAGTGAGGGTCTATATATATAAAAGTAGTTTCATATTCACTGGGCAGTGCTTGGTAATGTGTCAGATATCTGTCATTGAAATTAGTAGGAAAAAAAATTTTTGTTTTATTTATTTAAAGTTCAAAATTTCATCCATTCTGTTTGGTAAAGGTTTACAACCATGCTTGGTTACCAAGTGCCCTAAGAATTCTGTTTCAAGAACACCAAAACTGTATTTTGAAGCATTTAATTTAAGACTGTATTCATTTCATTTGTGTAGAACTTTAGAAGTTGTTTAAATTGTTATTTACAAAGTGCTTAATTTTCTGAGAATACTGGAATATCATCTAAGTATGTGTAACAAAAGTCTAGTTCATACATGAAATGTGGAAACATCCAAGCAACATTTTTTTAGTTCAAAATTTAAATGAGGAAATTCAGAAGACTGAAAGGAGTAATTACTGCTGTTTCAAATATGTGTTTTTTTGTAGACAGGTATATAGTATTAAGCACATGCAATATCAAATTTAGAAATCAGTGTTTTGCCATGAAGATATTGTGTAAAATCATGTATATGTGGGACAGAGTATGATTTAAAATGTGTAACTAAATTAAATGCTCTGTAATTTTCAGTTGGTCTAATCCTGATAAGCCTTTTTATGCATCACATGCTAAACGGATGATGACCAGTTACTTTTACACCATCAACAAATTTCCTATTATAACATATACAGTCAAAAGTCTTTAATCTGGACTCGCCAGGCGATTCCGGATTATCGGTTTTTCCGGATTATAGATCATCAGTTTAAATCTGGTAAGATGGCATGCAGAAATTATAAAATTAAAAATATGGAACCGTAATTTATGAAATAAAGAGCAATTATGATCTAAAGGGTATCAAAATTTACAAAAAAAAAGCTTAATATTTATTTGTTTACTTTATAAAACATTTCTTTCAATGCATGCATGTGTAAAGCATACATTATGCATAGTCGAAATTAGAAAATTGCAACCAGAAAACTATTTGATGTGTATTCGTGATATTTATAATGACGAGGAATTTGATTTAAATCATATCAAAGACGGAGTACATCGAGATGAAATACTACATTTAGTAAGGAATTATAAGCCGAATAAAATAAAAACATCTACCCTGAAGATGAGGATAGTGCTGACAGATC